GGCACTTTAGGCACAGTGCCTAGGGGCTACAAACATTTTAGGGTCTACAAAGGAGGGAAACTCTAGTGACTACTGAAAATCGAACTGAACGACATGCTTGCGATCAACTCTAGGTGCTCCAAATCAATAATTATACACTATCTAGTGGTTGTTCTAGAAACTAGAAGTATCGAAGTGATGGTACCACTCTTTTTGGGGTGGAGTGGTGGCTCTGTGGCTAAGGATCTATGCTTGTGGCTGGAAGGTTGCCGGTTCAAATCCCGCAGCTGGCAGAGGAATGCTACTCTGTTGGGCCCCTGAGCAAGGCCCTTAACCCCAACTGCTCCAGGGGTGCCATACAATAGGAGACCCTGCGCTCTGACCTCAAGCTTCTCTCTCCCTATCTGTGTGTCTCATGGAGAGCAAACTGGGGTATGTGAAAAGATAATTCCTTATGCAAGAAAGTGCCTACAAACTCCAAAATCCGGCCCTGGTTTTGATCAGACATAAAGCTTTACATTTTGACCAAAATAGTCCCCGTTTATGTCTGTCATCAGCCTTCAAAACCCTCTGCCACATATATGCAGTATCATTATAATCCACTCATTCATTTTTAACTGATTAATCCAATACAGGGTTGTGGAGGGGCTGCAGTTTATCCTGGCAAACAGTGGGCAAAAGGCAGGCACCCCGGACAGGATGCAAGTCAGTTGCAGGGCACACTCAGACACAAACACGCACACACTCACAAGTTATTAGCTAACATGATATGCTACTGGTACATGTTATTACCTAATGTAATAACCTAATTTATTTGTATCCAATCAATACATTTGTAACTTCTTGAGTTTGGAATGGATTGTGCACATGGTAAATATTAAAATTTTATTTGATGGTATCAAAATTGTAATCTCAGATTTAAACAGAAAATACACACTTGGGATAGGGAATTCATTATTTTTCAGTGCATTGTGCTGCTAGTTTTTTGAGTGTATTTTGTTTAGAATTCTAAACAGCTGCTTTCATGTGTGAAAGTTTTATCACCCTCAGCGAGATCTGTTCAGTTGCTGAAGTTTTTCTGATGCCTGAAACTTGAAATAGCAAGTGAGGTTCAGTAAAGATTTAAGAGAAATGCAAAACTTGATTATTGTTATAGACAGTCTTCAGCAGAGACATACAATTTGCCTTAACTGTGTGCGTACTGTACTGTATGTGACTCCAGAGAAAAAAACTTATTGTTGAATAAAATATTCAAGCAATGCACTCTTACAACTGGCATTAGAAAGAAGATATGTGTCTCACTTGCTACGGCAGAAGTAAAATTTACCTATGAGCTCAGAGACCCTTGAGACAAAGTTAACACACACAATACTCAAGCAAATCACATCACAAAGCAAGTCATGTGATAGAGAATGGTTCAGTTAGAGATTGTGCAAGGCAAAATGCGCAGTGTTTCAGCTGGCAAAGCTGGAAATATTGGAGCCAAAAAAGGGACATTTTTTCTTGGCTTGAGATGCAATGTCTTGGCAAATACATAGCAGAACCTGGCTCCAAAGAGAATGCAGGATGCCAGTCTAAAATGAAAAGTCTATATATCTAGCTGACTTTTTTTTCTGAACGTTTATTTGTAAAAATAGGCAGCAATAATGAACCAATGTTTCCTATTTGTGTAATTTTTTTGTACACAATCTCCAGATCCAGTACAAAAAGCTTAACTATTTCTAAGACAAACACCAAAAATATTGCAGCTCAACAAAATCCTGGCTGGATTGTACTGTAATGTTTCCAGTTACAACTAAATATCAGCATAATCTCTATCCCCAATAAAAAGAAAAATGGAAACTTAAAAAGGCATATTACATAGTTGTATCAATATATTTTTATTAATTGTTTTGCTGCCATTTGTGTACCCTGGGTAATCTTTTTATTTTCTATGGCAAGACAATGTAACAGGATTATCAAGCAACAGCACAAAGGACTTCTTCACCCCAAATGGCAAGCTCCTATTAGGAATTTTCCATCACCACAATCAGTTGTGCAAATTAAGTATCTGACACTATCAGTCAATTACTATGTAAATTGTTGTTTTTTTCTCACCTGTATCTCCTAATGTGTGGGTTTTCAATTTACTGTTAAAAGTACAGTCATTCTCTTGGGCATTTAAAAAGCATGTCTCTGGAATCTGGCACAACTCCAGGGGAAATAAGCATGTACAGACATTACATTTGTTTGTGTTTATCATTGTGCCTTTTCCCAAATAAAATCTTAATAAAGCTGTGCTTCCACATAATAGGCATACAGCAGAGAGCAGTAAATTGCTTTAGCTTGTCAAGTTTGTTGCTAAGGTAAATGCAGCATCTTGTACAAACCATAAAATGCAGTCTGATCTGCCAGTTGCAACTCTGAGCAAGTGTAATTAGCAGGTAGATTCCTAAATGTTGTTTTTTTTTTGTTTAATTACTGTGTACAGACTGCCACTTTAGCAAATGATACTGTACTGTATATTGCACAGGTACAGTCTAAAGATATGCAGAGCCCAACAAGAAGCAAAGAAAAGAGCTAATTAATATGTTGCATGAGGTTAACAGTTTGAAGATGGATCTGTTTTACAAAAAGAAAACTTAACTGCAAGTGAGCAAGGGCTATAAAAAGAAAATTGTACAGGAAGTAGAACAGAAGTTTCATTTTTTATTGATCCAAGCCATGTTTAAGGTAATATGATTATTTCCACTACGAGTATGGATTACTTTTCACTTGTACAGTATATGTGGACAGACATACAATTGTACATTAGGTCTGCCTGCTACACAATTTCATTTATGTTTTTCCCTTGTCACTGTGTTTGTCATTTGCCTTTTTTGTGTCATCCGCAATTTTGATTTTCTATCTAAATCAGAATCTAAATAAGTGTTTTACAGCAGTAAGAGCTACGACACAGCAGTAAATCCCTGTGGCACATCACTGCCTACACCTGCCCAATTACAGATTGTGCCCATTGAGATAATGCATTGTTTCCTATTGTTTAACCATCTATTAATTAATGTCCATACATTAATTATGATACCTGATGCTTTTAATTCAAGATTCAGACTTGTATTGGGGACATTATCAAAAGCTTTCCTTGAATCCAAATATATACTTTTGTATGCTTGAGCTTTATTTACTATTGATTCCTTTTCCTTGATGAAAGGAGTCTAGCAACGCAGGTAAACAAGACCTTCCCTTTCTAAACCCAATAATTTCCAAACCGTTCATGTAACAGAAGTTACTAAATGTGTGAAACTGGAGTACCGTGCTGAAAAAACTATCATTCCTATTATTGACATATGAGGAGGCTATTACATACTAAAATGTTATCATCTTTCTGCAGTGATCAATATGAGGTAGCATGACAATGACTTCTGCTAAGATATGTAATCAAGCATAAGGTCCACACCCTTTGCACAGGGTCAAGGTAGCAAATGGCAACACATGGTCTTATAATGCTTATAATGTTAGTGACCACTTAGAGATAATCTTGTCAAACGCCTCCCACAGTGGTGATCACAAATTGAATAATACAAAATCCTTTAGATATAACTAGGTTGACTCTTCAAAAGACATGACACATCACTGTCAAACCCCCTTTGCTACTAACAGTCAAACCCGTACGTGAAATGTGAAATTTGTTTTTTTGTGTAATGGATGACGAGCTTGAATGAATTAAAATCAGTCTCTTTGAGCAGCATTTCCCATAATTGTTGGAATGCAATGTCATTTAAACATTCCCATTTGGAGAACTGTATGGCATTTCGTAAATGAGAAATATTTAAGAAATCCTGTATTAAATATTGAGAAAATTCAGTATTCATCTATTTTATTGTCAGTTTTATATAAAAATATTTCCCTCTGTAATATTAACAGTATATGTTGGACTAGCACTGAGCTTTTCTAAGTATCATTTTCCAAGATAGAGTATCAAGCACTGAATGTTTCAGATATTAGGAATATTTTGGTTTGTACGTTGGCTAAATCAGTTTAATGAGCAGGCCAGGCATTTTAATTTAAAAATCATGTTTAGTGAAACATTCCTTAACTGATGATTTTGAAAAAATGCATGTACAAATATGCACACAGTAATTAGAATTTCCTTTTTTCTACCATAAAGGGTGCACCTTCCTGAGCAGAAAATAAAATGCTGAAAACCGTCATTTGCATTTCTTAATTATTTAAATGAAGGGGAACTTGCATTAATTTGTAATTGACTTTGAGTGTAAGATTTTTATTTTCTCTGTGTGAATCCAGATGAAATTTCTGTAAGGTTTTCGGATAGGGTGGCAGTGTGGTTCCATGTTACAACTGGGTGATGCAATATGTAAATTCAGCCTTACAATTTTGCTGAGTTGGAAACTAGTGGTCAGTACCTGTGTGCTGCAAGTGATACTAATGAGATACTCACTATGAAATCTAACCCAAAATAACAGTTTTGAACCAATTAGAAACATTGTTCAGCTCACATGGTCTGATCATTGCACATTTCACACAGTCTGACCATTGGCAGTAAATCTGAACAGTTGATCAGTCTTACACAATAGATATGCACATTTCACGTTGGCTGTGAATATGTATTTATCACAATTTTTCAGCTAAGCTGATGTCTAATTTACAACTCAATGTCTTTCAGTTTAAAGGTGGTTTGAATATCCCATCCTTTCTCAAAGACTCCTGTTGAACACGGACAATAGTTGAAAACATCATTCTACACTGTCTTAGTGGATTAAAAAACTGAACAAAAACCATCTTCATTATTTGCAATATCATATATTTGTTTTTACTGAAAATGCAGAAGAAATATGTAATGAGTCAAACACCAGTCTGAAATATGTTAAGTACAATTAATGTCACAATACAGATGTTATGTTTTCAGTACACAGTAACAACGCAACAAAAGAAGATAAGGCTTTCAGTTGTTTTTAGCAATTGAGTCTGTGGATCTGTCTCCAGTATGTTTAATTTTTTTCTCTCTCTTATGTTCCATATAGCTGCAAGCAAAAGCTGTATTTGGAAAAGCTGCCAAACACCAGCATCATCATTCCTTTCCATAATGAAGGCTGGTCCTCTCTGCTACGAACAGTACACAGCATTATGCACAGGACACCTGACCACCTCATAGCGGAAATAATTCTAGTGGATGACTTTAGTGACCGAGGTGAGTAACACTTTAGCTGGGATGGATAATGTTTTTATCCTTTGGATGGTGCCCGATTTTTATTTTCAGTTTCTCCCGCACAATGAAACACAGCCTTTTCTGCCCTCTGCACCCCTGAACCAAATACAGTTATTCTCCTTCACAATCTGTTGTATATTTCCTTGGCAACCAACAATACTGTGTTAATGTTGTTTATACGTGCATTTACCATGCTCTGCCTACTGCATTTATGGGTCACAAATTGTTGTTTTATGTTGTTTAAATTCTACCCACACAGCTCTGCATTTATGAAAGTCAGTGGATTACCACATTACTGACCTTACAATTTCCAAGAAGTAGAACAGTCTTAGGCGTTTTATACAAAAGACATGTGATTTGATACTGCTGTTGATGCATCAACATCAGTTTTACTCAGTTGAGAGCTGACTCAGGTGAAAAGAGCAACACAGTGTGATTGATAATTATCTAAGAGTTGGTTCTGTTGCTTAGCGCTAGAATGTTTCTTGGTACTACTGTATATCATTTGTTACTGGGGTTTTTAAAGGATCCAGAGAAAAACTGGGGCTTAAAAAAGTACATGTTGGTATTTTAACAACCATATCTGGACTTGTAAGGCCTGTTTTTATTTAGGAACAAGTAATAGGTTTATTCCATGCTGAAAAAAAAGAAGAAAGAAAACACAACGTTTCGGCAGTGAAGACTTCTTCAGGTTCCACGGCCGAAACGTTGTGTTTTCTTTCTTCTTTTTTTTCAGCATGGAATAAACCTATTACTTGTTCCTTTGCAGCCTACGCATGCTGATGCAGCTACCCACCTGGTTTTATTTAGTTCGATAACTAAAATGTTTTCAGAGGCAAAAAAGTAAATACTGTACATTTTCCTTTTGGTGAAAAACGCTAGTTAATTCCGGAACCGTACATAATGCAACATCTTTTGATTGGTAGTGGGTGTTGTAGGTGATTTGAGACACCAGATTGCCAAAGCATGTTTTTTAAACATACATTTTCCAAATTCTTGATGGCTCTCCAAGATAAACTTTGTGTGTCTGTCTACTGATGATCATTTGTCTGCAGAGGGAAGTATTTTTTGAACATATGAAAAGTTCCAGAGAAGAGGACGCAATTTAGCCCATTTGGTAGTGAGTAGTTAATTGATCCAATGATCTCATCAAGCTGTTTCTTGGAGGAAATCAGTGTATTGGCTTCAACAACATGACTGGCTAGCTTTTTTACACTCTCACAACCGTATGGGGAAAGAAATGCCTCCTATTCTCAGTTTTAGATGCATTTCAATATAGCTCCCACTCTGTGCAGTTTTGGAAGTTAATAAGCCAGTTTTTACCCCCATTCTGTTCAGTAATGCAAATAGCAAATTTACAGACTGGTCGGTTAATATACAGTACAGTAGTAGGTATAAAACCACTCTGGACAATTGCATGAGCTATCCCTAACCTTACCTTGCTAATGCTGTCCAATAAACTAATTTCCTGTCATCTACAGCCTATGGTTGTAGCTGTATGATTTTCCTGTAAACTAAAACACTATGATTGCTAATCACAGTACAGTTTGTAAATGTGTTGTTGTGAATGATAAAGTAAAGACAACAGGAGAATAATTCCACAAACTATCAAGAATTCAGATTTTTGCAGCATTCTTTGTTCTTTCAGAGTAACAAGGCTTATTTTCCATATACAATTGTCTGTTTACTAATATTTTGCATCGTTATGTGAATAGGGTGACGTTAATGAATTCCCTGGAGGTGAATATAAAGTGAATTGAATAATTGATCACTAGTTATAGATCAGACATTTTCTTCATGTCCTGTATCATAAGGCACTCTAAAATTCTTGTGTGGGTTTAAATTGTAATGGTGCAATTAAAAGCACAAATTTTACAATCAGTGAGTAGAGATTTTAGTAGTACTTCAAATAATTTTCTGGTAATTACTTTTAAAAGGGGGTGTGGTGTTTTGGTCAGGGCTTTAGATTTTTGGTTCCAAATAATGACAATTCTGCATTTCTTAATCAGGATAAAACCAGGATGAAAACAGCCAGGAGTGTGATAGCAGATGGGTGCTAAACTTTAGATGTTCTTATCCCATGTTCTTATCTGATAACACAATTGGAAGCAGAGAAGATAAGAATCACAGCAAAGCTTTTCATTCCAAACAATATAATTAACATCTAAAAAACAGACAGGTAGGCTAAAACAGATAATATCTTCTTTCTCTGTATTCAGATAGATATTTTATATTCTGGCAATATATTTATCTTAATTAATCGGGCATATGCAAATATACAGTATATTCCAAAGTCTAAATTATTTAATTTCTTGCGTGTGGAACAATTTAGTTTTTAATAATAGCTTAGCTCAGTATTATTTTCTTCCATTCAGAAGAAGCATATGTGCTGTAGATTAACAGTGACTAAAATAAAACAATTCAAAACATTAAGTCACTTTAAATGATTTTAAAGTAGTCACAAACATAAGTAAGCCTACTGTATATGCATAAGAGCAGGAAAATCACAGAAGCAATGAAATTCATGATGTTTCTTTCTGATAAATTGCCACTGCAAATGTTTTCATTTTGTTGTATTTGTTCATTTCCATTACATTTGTTTCTGCCTCACTTAATTACAAATATTAATGTACAGCATACCTCAGTAATATCAATTAGTATGCTTTAAAGAAATAACAGGAAAAAAATAACTTTTTCAGAATTCTAGTATTTGTGTTCTCATTTTTCTAGTTATTTTCCAACATCTATATAAAGCTTTAATTTGACTCCTTTTGAAAATGTAATAATAATCATACGGTATTGTTTCCACCAATTACAGGACTTCATACTAGTAGAATATTTTGAGTAATTTGCTGTATATACACAACTTCTACTCCTATCCAAAAAGTATCCTTTCAATACTTTCCTATGGGGGGCAGATTTTAAATAAAGACACAGAAACGGCAGTCTAGAATTTAATGATTGCTTAACAAATAATAGCATGTAATAAAATTGCATTATTACATATAATTAAAATGTTTATTACATAGTTGTTTATACCTGCAATGTCAAAAAACAAAAACATTATGAAACAATAATCCGCATATTTCTTCTATGACTACAATCATGCACAGTAATCAGGGTCATCTGATATGCTTTATTTGTTCCTTAAGTTGCTTGCCAAGTGCCAAGTGGAGTATTTTTATTTGAGCCAAACATCCAGTTCTGATTTTTCTACCATTTGTTTCTTTACTCAGTGGCACTGAAGTATTTTCTTCTGTAGTTTTTATTCCCACAGACCCGTAATCTGTAGAGGTGCATAATTAGCTGAACATGTTACAATTAAATTGCCTGCCACAACCACTTTTTCCAGTTTTAGGAATGTAGTGCCAGAAGTGACAATCCAAGTCAGAGCAGTTTAACACTCTGATTCCTGAATGTATGCTGCTTTCAGTCAATAACGTAGCTTATAATACCAAATTAACTTCACTCCTGTTTTCAAGAGAAACATGCCTGTCGAAATTAATACTATATTCTAAATTTTACCCTCTGATGTTAAATAACTGTCTGTATTAACACATTTGTGTTTCTAGTCAAGTAAAGTATATGAAGAAAATAGTACTTTGGTCAGAAGTGTACAGTAGGTTTTTAAATTTGGCTTTTGCATGTGCTTCAGACTACACAATTCGGCGGATGGAAATTAATATACACAGCATAATAGCAGTTTTCTTCTTGCAAGGAGGATAACAGCAAGACTGTCTGGGAAACAGCCAAGCAATGAATGGCATTAATGCCTGCACAGCTTGAGTTGCCCCAAGTAAATAGTTATGTGAGCAAAAGAAAAATTAAGCAACACATGAACTCAGAAAAGGCCACACTGGAAACCAAAATTGCCTTGTTACCTTTAAATTCACTGTGTTCACCTAAGCCGCTGCGAAAGGTTGAGAACATGATCCTCAGATCTATTACTAACAAATGATCTATATGGACTTTATGGCCTCCTCTCTGGTGTACAGTAGCTGTTCTTAAGGTTCGTGTACGAACACGTGTACGATACACAGCACAGGCTATAGAAACAGCTACCCATCTTAGCAAAATATGTCTCCATTAAGTACAGAACATGCATGCAACAAGGAATGCAAGATGTATTTTCTTTGTTAACAAAACAGATTCACTCTGAGCTCTTTATGTAAACTGCTAATTGCAAAACAGCCATGCAAATGATTAATTGCAATAGTCTTCACTGTCATTCCTGTCATTGATAGTTTTAGTTTTTAGTTCCATTGGTAACATTTGCTTTTAACTGATCTTTAATGCTTCAATGCTTTAATGTTTAAATCATCGTTAATGCTGATTCATGATACAATTGTATACTGTTACAATTTAGTATGTTTAGTCCATTACAGTTGAGGTCAAATTACCATTCTAATTCATAGGATAAATATATTTGGTAAATAAGGCAAATTAAAGTTTAGAAATTAAGTCCTGACACCCACTTGTCCTGCAAGCATATTTATAAAAGTGTGATCATATGGCTTCTTTGTTCCTGGCACAGTGTAGTTTCAGAATGAAAGAAAAGGCAGCGCAGTAACAGACACAATCATTTATTTATAAAACCTTTCACACAACGGAAAAAGCACTGATTATTAATTACAAATATTTATAATAAGTGTGAGTAAATAGGAGGCTCAGTCTTTTACAGACCCAAAACGTGGTTGTCTGTGTCTCTCAGTGACAAACAGATCTCAACAGCATCTGAAAGATACAGTATACGCAGTAGAAGAACTGTGAAGCTGGTTCTTAGAAAATAGAAACCCCAATCCAGAGAATCAATTAAAAGTACTCTCTAAACTGTTACTAAACTGGAGGGAACATTTATTCCTATTTCAAATAAATGCATTAAAATCCAACAAGAGGTTTCTGTCGCCTAGTGGATACCAAGGAAAGGAAATCAATAATTCCACAAATAAGAGCACAGCCCTTTTTCTAACATTAAATTCAGT